TGATTATCTTCATCGAACTACTTACTCCTGACATCCGCCTATGATCCCTATTCTACCCAGCTGCCCTTTGTGAGAAGAATTCGCCAGAGCAGGAATGGTTTCTCGAACAAGCTCTAGGCAACTACATTGTCTCTTTGGCGCTTTGATGTGAGAGGCATCCGTTACCGATCTGAAACGATCGTTCGGCTGGCTTTCTCCTCCAGCATAGGTGCTTCGCCTTGCTGACATAACAAATCGAAATTTGACAACCTCAGCAGAGTTCGAGTGTTTCCTTGCGACAAGAGAGATTGTGCTTCCAAAACAACCGCCCATGAAGGCACCACTGTAGGCAATAATGACAGTGAAAGCGCTGGGTACTAATATCAGGCTGGGTCTAATTTGGTGAGTCTTAAACCACATTGTTGGTGAACCAACTTCGATGGCGCAGAAGATAACGTACATTTCAACTTCAGATTTCAACGTGTTTTAGTTCCGATTTATTAACTGCCATGGCGTTACTTGACCCAAAATCGTATACTGATAGTGTGCTAGTCGTCGGAGATGGTAACTTTTCATTCACGGTTTGTTTAGCGTCAGCGTTATCAAAGACATCTGTTAAAATCGTTGCGACATCGTTCGACTCGCGCACAGCCTTGGCGAGTAACGAGTTCGCACTGGAAAACATCGAGAAACTGTCCGCGTTTGAAAACATCGAGATCTTACATGAGGTAGATGCAACAGATCTTCGTCGGAAATTTGGTTCTAGAAAGTTTGATCGGGTGATCTTTAATTTTCCGCACACCGGCGGAAAATCAAACATCGCCAAATCGAGAGATCTGTTGGAGCGGTTCTTTGCAAGCGCAGCGCACCACGTGGAACGGTTCGAAGGAGATATCTGTGTAAGCCTCTGTCAGGGACAGGGGGGAACACCCTTAGATAATCCAAGAAGAGAGCTTGGAAACTCGTGGCAGGTTGTTTGCCGAGCTGCAAAGGCTGGTTGGTATTTTTTAGGTTGATGTTTTTTGTTAAATTGTTCTTTTCGACCAACTGGGGCTTAACCAGCTGGTGAAAGGCATCTGTTGCCGATCTGAAGCGATTGTTCGGCAGGCTTTCTCCTCCAGCAAAGTTACTTCGTCTTGCAAATCGAAATTTTCTCTATCACAAAGCTGGAAGACACAATTGTAATCCTGGTTGGGAAGGTAGTGGTTCACAGGTTCTTCAACACTTTTTCAGTTTTCCTGGACAGTTTTCCCATATGAGTGGGAGAGGCACCATAACTGTTCAAGTTGGTTGCCCTACATTATGCAGTTACCATCAACACTGGAAACTGCATACGCCAAGACCTTTTGATCCTGTGCTAATGCCTCAAACCAGTGATTTTTCCAATGCATGTATCTACAATTTAATCTGTATTATTTTGTTTATTCATGGTCAGGTCTTATTTTAAATGCTGTGTATCCATTCAAAAGTGAAGAGTATACTGCTTACAGAAGTGCAGGCTTTCGTGGACAGCTTGGCAAAGGTTTTCATACCATAAATGGGCTCACTCATGTGTTTGTCCATGGAGTGCCCCTGGAACCAATTCCAGACCTGCAGTAAGCTCAGTCATAATACTATTACCAATCTATGCATCTTATTACCTCACTGAAGAGGTCATTCTTTAACTACAGCTTTGTTTATGAGTGTCATTATTATCGGCCAAATCAAAGGTTGATTTGTGCTCAATCAATAAACTCAATCAATAAACTCAATCATTTAGCAATAAATGCAAGTTACATGCTACTGTAGACACAATTCTAATTGTCAGTTAGATTTTGTAGCTTTAAGTGAAATACAGTACATTTACTGGTGCCTTTTTCCTCTCTAATGTTTAGTTAACTATCCACATATCTGATAGTGTCAGTTATAGTTCTAGAGTTATCCAATCTCTTGATTTGAAAAAAATTTAGACTTCAGAATGTCTTGGAAATAAATTTTCATCTGTACATTTTATTGATATACTTTTGATTTACCTACATCTAGGTCTTTCATCTCAAATTACAGTAGCATTCTGGACAGTCTTTATGCTGTGGATGGCCTCATCACTTTTCTTAACAATCCCGTTTGTAATTTGGTCAATAAACTCAGAAAATTCTTTGGAAGTTACAATATTTTTGACATGACTATTTGGTCCGCACAAGATTGCTGCCAACCAGATGATGTAAGTAATTTAAGTGAGGAGGCAAAGAAATTGAATGTCAAAGAAAAAGCAACAAGGATGGCTTTCAAAGACTCTGAGATGTCATTTACAACCAGAGTCATCACAAAGCTTCAAGAAGAATGTTGTTCCTTTGTGTTAAGTGGCACTGAAATTGATTTCTGTCTCCCTCCATCGTCTCAAACACACCCTGTCAGCCACAAAATGGTAGCAGTGCAGACTTTCACAGAACCTATAACATCTTCAAAACTTCAAAGTGATGTGAACAGTGTGCTAGAAGTGTTTATTGAAGATATTTGTTCTTCTGTCAAAGACTTAAAAAGGGAGAGTGGTTGTCGAGGTGTGACACAGAAAAATTCCCTTACTAAATCAAGTTCAGCAGAGTCAGAGACAAGCCAGTTAAAAAATGGGGTACAAACAAGATTTCAACATGTCAGGTGTGCATCTGGCACAGGCATTGGATGTCATTGTAGAAACCAAGATGATCCAAAGAAGTGTATTTATTGCAGGATGGAAAAGCACTATTTAGGGCATGATAACTCTCCACAACTATGCATCAATAACCTTATACAACCCTTGACATTGACTAAACTATATCATAAAGACATGCTGCTTGTATCTTGTGGTATTTTAGATGTCAGCAAGTCTCCAAAAGTTTGTTGTGGTTGGTTGGTGGAAGTTAGTATTGATAACTTGGCTTTAGCTTTGTGTAACATTCCTGACATAAGACTTCTTTGGTCTAAAGATCCAAGGTTTCAAGAACAGTTTTTAAGCCAAGAGGTAAGGGTTCTTTTTAATTAATACAACAAATTGTGTAAATTTAATTACTCTGCAGAGATTCCATATGATTATTAGTCAGATATGTTATGGACTGCATGTTCAAATATAATGGGAGCTTGTGTAGGTGACAGTTCTATGTACCTTTTGCTTGCAGGCTAGCATATGATATGTTGTGGTTATGAATGATGGCTTTTGTCATGATTTGTTACACTAAATTCAATCAGCCATTTGGCCACTTCTGTGTTTCACTTTCAGAGGAAGTCAGAAGTAAAATGTTTTTCATTAGAATAGAATAGAATAGACTTTATTTCAAGAGGGTAGCACATGGCAGTAGTTAAACTGATGATCTTGTGGCCCTCTAAATAATTCCAACCCATCCCACCCCAGGGGAGGACATCCATCACACAGTAATCTCGTGTGTGGGAAATTAACGTCTCCTACCCCTAACCCTGCAGGAGACAGGACCTCCATTTATTTGTCCCTATCCAAGAAGACTAGAATATCTAACCATTTAAGGTAAAGGTAGCATATTCTTCTCAATTATTTTAAGACCTTGAGTGTTGGTCCGGTTGGGGCTTGAACCACTGACCTCCCACACAACAGTCCAGCACTCTATCCATTGAGCTAACTGGGAGGCGGTCATCGAAAAATCAACGTATTTTCTTTTGAGAAAGAAAATAATTCGTTTTTTTTTTGGGCTTATCCTTGGGAACTCTTAATTAAGTACAATCATGTAGGTCATTTTGTCAGGTAGAGTTTGACCATAAGTGGACTGGACCTACTGGCAATAGAATAAAATGCGAGGAGAATACTTTGTCAGTCGTATCTGTAGGTGCTGTTATTCCTGCAGCCAGTACTGTCGCTGATGGTGCTCTTTTTCCCTAGTTTTGTTTCTCTGTTTACAGTCTGATGCTTTAGCTGCTAAAATATCTGTGATCTTGCCATTGGGTTCATTGTTTGACTCATTAGGTGGTTCACAGTGCTTTCAATAAGACCCGGCACCCGCCGGAGCTCCTGCGGGTATTCTGTTGTGAATCGCCGGGTATATTTCACCGCGCTCAAGTCACAGTCACCACGCTAAGTCGCAATCAAGTCTCTTTCCGGCGGGTGTTGTACCGAGGTAGCCACCTATTTCAAATCTTATTGAAAGCATTGGTTCATGATGTTCATGATATGTTTCACAGATGTGGCAATGTTTATGTGTAGTTTGCCGTATGTGTGCATGGTGACTTGTTTTTCTTGCAGTCCATATTTTTAGAAGCATTTTTCTCGTCTTTGTTATCCATTTGCAATGTTCTTACTTGTAGGAGATAAATTTCTCATACAACAATTTTACTTTTCTTTTGCTGCAAGCAAAGTTAGTAGAGTAATAATTTGGATATATCAACAAAGTTGAATTGGTAAATTGGCCACTGTAACGATTACAAAAGCTGACGTTTCGAGCATTAGCCCTTCGTCAGAGCAAATAGAGGAATTGTGGGTTGTGTGTGCTTTTAAAGGCAGAAAATGGAGCTACGTTATTGGTGGGAACATGGCAACGAGAAAAACACGAATAAATTAGTGGAATGAAAAGCATTTGCTGATCCCTGTGGGATTTAGACTGCCGGTTTGAAAGATGAGCTTTTGTTCAAGAGTTTTACGGCTTTCCGTGCTACCTAAGTGTAAGGAAAGACCGCAGATTGCCATATGTTGCTTAGAATGATTAGGTAAATTAAANGAAAGATCTTCTTGTACGATATTAAAATCTGTTTAATTCTAAGAAGTATCACGCACGACTGACAAATACTGTACTTGCCTTTTCGCCAATTGTGCCTTTGTTTTTAACCCCTTTGCTGGATCGCCACGACATTTTAACCAAAAACGAAGTTCATCTGATTTTAGAGCAGTCGGATTTCTTCCTTGAAGCGATGCTCCTGAGATATCTTCCTCCGTAAGAATCTGAGAAAGACGGCTACTTACAGAGTCATGAGCGGCCATATTTTTAACACGAGCTAACAAGGCCCAACTAACCTCGTGTTCACGTTTATCGCTCCCAGTCTCTTCTCGTTATGCATAGGGTGTATATTCTGTCATTCTTGTAGGTGGGAAACAAGTACAAAAACATCATGTCTCAAATCATAAAAATGTTCTCTCTTGACATGAGAAAGTATATATGATGATGTATAATAACAGTGCACCTGAAATGCATTTTGAGGTTGTTCATATTTCTTATTAACCAAGTGCGAGGGCCGTACTGGGAGAATATTGGCCTGAGGTCTTGGCAGTACGGACCGAGCACAGCGAGGTCTGTCCAAAAAAGACCGAGGGCCGATATTCTTCCAGTATGGTCCTGAGCAAGCTTGGTTAATAAGAGATTTATTATATGACTGAAGTTAAAAGAGACACAAGTGTGGTATCATTCGGGACAGTGCCTGGTCCAATACTGTGAGAATATTGACCGGCAATAGAGCATTTTGATTGGTTGATTTTAGTTATTGGCCGTCTGACTGCCCGAGTCGTGTAATAAATAAAAGTTATTGTCTTCTTACCATCTCTATTACCATCTCTGTCTCTACACTTTCACTTCCAGTATGCTGACAACAGCAATTTATTCTCACTAATGTTAAGATACATTTTTATAGGTTTGATTATTTGTTAACAATAAATGGAATAAACACAATACACATGACTTGGAATTGGTTGTAGCCAGTCAAGGCAGGGGTTGATTGATAACCAATCATGCTTGAGGATCTTTTGTTGTTTTGATTCCTGCACTTTTCAATAACATGCAAACTTTAAGGCTCAGAACAAGACTTACAATTTCATTCAGGCTGCTGACTAGAATTTAAAAAGTCTGCCCTTTATCCCATCCTTTCTCAGGAAATGACCTTTTGTGTGCAGCATGATGACACACCTGTCCACCAAGAAGTCTGCATCATGATAGTTGGCAACATGAAACATATGCAGTTATCATCTCCAACTCTATAGTTTGCATGTATTGAAAAGGGCAGAAAAATTGAAAGAGCCAGGTACTTTCACAGCAGAGTTTATCAATACATTCCTATTGTGTGCATACCCTTCATTTACTATACTAAAACCTTACAGTAATTTTTTTACAAGGAAATTAACATCGCACATATATTGATGAACTTCTTGGATTTCTCCTGTTACTGCTAAATGGTATTGAAAAATGAAATGTGTGTCTATGTATTTTTTGTGTTTGCTTTCTTTTCAATGAATGAAGCTAAGCCAGAGAAGTGACATCAACCCAGATATTTAAAACTCATTGTCACAGTAAGCTAATTCATCAATACCTGTGGGATATTGGCTACTTGGGAATGCAAACTACTATTTTCTTGAGTGATAGAAACAAATGAGAGACATCATCAAAGAAAGAAGATAAATTTGCAATCTCATGTGACCCTGTCATTTCCCTTAGTTTTATATACAACAGCCAAGTCTGAAGAAGGAAGGAAAGTGTTAATTACTTATTTTCTCTTAATGACTTAAGATAAGAATAATCAAAACATGTCTATTGTTCACTTGTAAATACCAAACAATTATATAGTATAAAATATGCTGACCTGAGATGTAAATTACATGCCGACCTGTGAAAAAAAATTGCGCTATGAAATAAAGTTAACATGCCTTTAAATGATCAAGCCAAAAGATAGATCAAAATCACATTCCCACTTGACACAAAAATGATCGTCTTCAAGGTCAGCATATAAGCTTAGATACAGAATTGTTACAATTACTTGGTCTTGCTCAGACCTGGCTGTCTAATGGTTACTATCATATTCAGAAAATAATGAACACCGAAAATATTTCTTGTTTTGGGTGGGATATGTTAATTATAAGGTGGAGCAGTAATTAACGTGTGGTTCTCTCGTTTTCACTTGCTTTCTGACTGAAATATATCTGACTTGTTAGAGCACATTGAGAAATTTGGTTATATTTCAGATGTTCTTGATTTTCTGAGTGTGAGTAAACCATGCATATTATATACATTGTAAACAAACTATGTACAAGTGACACAAATACATGACATTCATCCAGGGCCTGTTCATAACCTTACTTCTAAGTAATTTTTTGGCAAGGATTGACAAAGTTTGCAAAACTATGAGGCTTAACAGGGCCAATTACAAGGGACTGTAATCTAGTCTGATAAAGCATACAAAAGCAAATTTTTGAATCTAGACTAAACGTGAATTAGAGAATGGCTTGATAAGAAGTGTTCATATTGTCAAGGTCAAGGAAGAATGTCATGAATTTATGCAGCTGTCAGACCTAAAAGCCAAACTTAACAATTATGATAAATATATACTAAACAAAGAAAGGGATTACAGTATTGTTGTGGTAATTAAATCTATAGAACAATAATCTTATAACAGTTAAACCAGTTTGTACATTTAAGTGAAGGCTTATTATACTGACAGCTCTAAGCCTAGTGTAGTCAAAGCAATATAGTCACTGCTAGTTAGTGGTGATAATATTGCTTAGGTTACACCAGGCTCTATGTTGGCTGCAACAATCCGCAGATCTTTTGATTATCAGATTTCATGACACCACCACCCACTCTTCAGTTCATGCTACATGTACTTCTATTTTGGGTTAATCATTGTGGTCCGTCTGGGAAAACTTTTCTTTAGGTTTCCTTTACTCACCACTGTTAGCAAATTGTGATATGTTTTGGGTAAGCTGTTTTGTCATAAAAATGATAGTGACTACTTCCCTGATACAAAAGTGCTTTACCGTTTATTTCACAAATCCTATTTTGGGTGGTGGTGTCATATTCAATTTTTTTAAAGATCTGTGATAGATTGTTATCAGCCACCTTTATGTCCCTTTTGAGAATTCCATACTGATATATCCTAGGTTTTGGTCAAATCTAGTCCACCTTAAAGGGGGCAGTTTGGAATTCTCAAAAAGGCAAATTTAGATTTTCTAACACAGTGTTACTCTTTCGAAAACTTGTTGATTGCTCTCGGGAATTGCTTTGCTTTCATGTAGCCTAGCGATTTTACCCTGACAATCATCGCAGAGATCTTTGGAAAAGGTCCCTATGAATTCTTGTTTTCAATCAACGTCTTCAGTCGATTATTTCGTGTGCATACGTAATGCAACCAGAACCCCATTGCACCAGTTCATCAGAAGTCACTTGGGCCTTTTTTCCGAAAAAATCTTTCATTTGAAAGCTGAACTGTTGCTTTTGTCACTCAATTTCCCAAGGTGAACAAAGATATGGACTGTTTTACTCTCACTCTTGCAGATAAGGTGAGAAGAAATCTTAAATCAATTTTTGTGTGTGTGTGTGTTCTACGATCGGGCCTAAAGAAAAAAGACACTTCTGTTTTCTACATTTTTTTTGTTTGGTTTGCCTTTTTTCGGTAATCATGCAAGACATTATTCTACCCTTTGTTAGTCTTTTGACCTCTGTTAAGGTGCTACGTCACATTGCTTTCGAGTTTTTTTGCTGTGATGAGCCGTTTTCTTTGTTGAGAAAACAGTCAAATGTAACAGACTAAAAGCGAAAAAGTTAGATGAAAAGGAAGGAGAGAGGTCACAGAAAATAAGAAAAAAACTGAAAATAGTCCAGACATACTCAAAAAACTAACTGAAATAAAGTAGTGGTATCTCGTATTGGCCTGTTGACCTCTTAAGCTGAGTTTGTTTCAAATCATGTTGTCTAGAGACTGTTGCGATGTCTGTTACGAATCCTGTCTACGATTTCCATACTAAAAGTTGACTGAAGAGTAATTATAGAGATTCATGTACTGTGACGTAGCTCCTTTTACCTGTGAACTTTACAACAGAGCGAGTATTAATTATCTAAAACTAGTCAAAGCATTATTGGTGGTGTCTACTGTTGACTTTGGTGTTCACAGGCAATCCTCCAACAATAGCTAAATGGGAAAAAATCAAAATCAAACCATACTTTGTAGTTAAACTTAACAGAATCATGACAATTACCCAAAAGGCACTAATAGATTAAATCAACCAAGAGTTACCATTAAAACTGTTTAAGGATTATTGCTACAGTATTTTTGTCGCAGTATTTTAAGTGTTGCTGAAAAGGCACCAATAGATGAAATCAACCAAGAGTTACCATTAAAAACTGTTTAAGGGTTATTGTTACAGTATTTTTGTCGCAGTATTTTAAGTGTTGCAGAAAAGGCACCAATAGATGAAATCAACCAAGAGTTATCATTAAAACTGTTTAAGGGTTACTGCTACAGTATTTTCGTCGCAGTATTTTTAAGTGTTGCTGAAAAGGCACCAATAGATGAAATCAACCAAGAGTTACCATTGAAACTGTTCAAGGGTTATTGTTACAATATTTTTGTGGTATATATCGAAGTATTTTGAGTGTTGCTGAATCTTCACTTTTACTTACCAGATGCAGGAAACTTTTTTATCTGGAGTCAGATGGTCTGGCAGACTGAAAGTAAGGCAAGAATAAAATCAATAGGAGTATGTGTTCTTTGCTCCGCCTAAATGTAAGTATAGAGAGCGAGATGTTAAGTTGGTTTGATGATCTTAATTATTCTGTTCCTCATAACCTTTGAATTGGTTGTTATTATAAGTCTCCGAATAAGCGCCCAGGTGCTTATTTAAAGTTTACTTCAAAGAAAAGGAGGGGTACATATTGTGAAGAGGAGGCACTCATTAAGTTAGCGTAGCAATAGGACATAAATAGTTGTAAATAATGTGGCAAGAGAAACAGGATTACCTTCTATCCTTACTATTTACCAACGTGTGGAATGAGGGGGCGGTTGTCTGACATTATGGCTCAGTGAGTAGGCCCTTATATGGGGGAGGGCGCTTATTAGAGCGTCGGCGCTTATTCAAGGAAATACGTTGCACCACAGCGTTCAAAATGATATGGAAGGTACCGTAGTTGGTGACCAAGACCAAATATAGATCAAATCAAAATGTGTTCGCTTATAAAAGCATTGCTGAATTTGAAAATCATGAGGCTAGCATAGTTGTCGGCAAGGGAATGTTGTCAACTGAGTTGATTTTAGTTACTGTTACCAGAAAAGGAAGGCACTGACCCATATTGGTATTAACAGCCTTTGAGAGGTTGTCCCATGCTCCAGCGTCATTCTTAAATGTTCCTCCAACAGTTCTCCAGGTTCACCGAGAGGCTCTACATGTACTCGAGCAATTGAGCTAAGGATTCTGTTGTGGTTTAAGGACATTATGCGAGCCAGTGGAACCTGTTTAAAGTGAGTGAAGAAGAATACATCATCAACAGACGAAAAAAAAGCCATTCCATGGAGTTGGAAGCATATTTTTGTTCAAAATTCTCATTCAAGTTGTTTTATGAATCACCTAGTCGTTTTCGTATTAAACCGACACACCTGGGTGATTTCCTGCTCCAACCGCAGTCTAAAGTTTCCCTCTCTTGGCAACTCAAATCTTATTTGTAGATCATTTTCGATGTTCAGAGAGTGGAAATGTTTATGTTCTCTTTGGGAGGAGTATTCCTCGCCACATGAAACAGCTTGAAAGCTGGAGTCTCGGTTGCGTTGTAGCTGCTGTATCATCAAACCCACATTGCCCTAAGTTGGAGAGAGAAAAAACCAAAACAAAAAGAAAGTTAAAAAAACAAACGGAGCTGTGTCAATGCGGTTTAAATTTGAATCACGCCGGCATGACTTTTCGAAGTTTGAGAGTAGGGTGGCTGTATTTCATTGAGCTAATGGGAAAAAGGAAGAGATAAAGTCCGTTAGCATTTGTTAGCTTGGTTCTAAGCTACAATATTGGTAACAGTTTGCTGTACCTGCTTTGATTGTTCCATACAGTATACTGAAATGGTCATTTCATTTAAAGATGGAGGATCTTCTCTTAAAACGAAGAGTTGAAATTGCTGTGGTGGGCATGGGAGTAGTATTGATGAGTCTGAGAAACCTGCAAGTGAAATGATGAAGCAAGGTAAAATCATAATATCGGCCAGGTGTTCCCCTTCCACTATGCTCATCCGGAGAGTTGAGGAAATGGAAAACGTGACAGCAACAACATCAACAGAAGTTATAACAACTTAAACAGTAATTGAAATTTCAACTACAGTTGCACTAGCTGCAGTAGCCGAATTGCAACTTTACTGATGTCCCCATAGGCACCAATTATCAGGAGGATCATGGGCATAGAATACACGGTTTAACAACTAAAAATTTGGGAACGTAATAAACGTTCAAGTTAGAGCCACTCTTTCATACTTTTTCTATCGATATTTCTAAATTAACATGCTTGCAGTGTTTGTGTGCGCACTTCTGAATAAAGTTTAGATTTGTATAGTTGATCGTGGTTTCTTAAGACAAAAAAATTTGAAAGTGTCCGATTGACGAGTGTTGAGAAAAGTAGTTTTAGCACTTTTATGGGCTTCGGAATTTGATAAACTGCAACTGCCAAAAAAGGAAGAAGTGTTGCATTGCCTTCTGTGAATACCTCAAGAATTCTTTTACAGAACTAACTTTTAACTTATGTAGATGTTCAAACTTTTGTCTTCAATCACAGTCAGAATTCTCAAAGCAAGGATAATATTCTAAATTGTAAATATGTTTTGAACGAAAATTAATTTTTACTTTACTAGTATATATATTCATGCAAGGAATTATTGAATTATTTTAATACAAGAGATAATTTAGGAGAATTTTTGAAAATGTTTGTCTGCGCTTTCATTGGTAGGTATGAAATATTTTGATTCATTGCGAAAATCAATCCAAACTTTCTTTAGGAGTTTAGTAAAGCAGGATTCGATATTTCAAACGTGAAAAGTTGAACGCTAGGTACAAACAAGGTACTTACCTTCTACTGGAACGTTTCCGCTTTGGATCACGGGACCTCCAGCGCTTGTATCTATATTCGCGCTGTTTGTTGTTGAAGCCGCTGGAACTTCGTGAAATGTCTCGTGGGTTTCTGGTACCGATTGCATCCCTCTTGCAAGGGTCAAATGAAGGTTATTTGCTGAAGAAGTGGCGGATTCTTCATCCGAAACCCTGTCTGAAATTTCTCCATTCTTAGGAATTTTTACATCAACATACTTTCCGCATAAAGAACATCTCTCAGTTCTTCCATAAGCGAAAGCGCGGTTGCCACGGTTGCAAACACAAGTTAAAGCGCTATCCTGAAATGGCGCGTTTAATGATCGTCCAGTGGAAGATGATTCAGCCAAACCACCATTAGGATCATGGTCACTTTCTTCAGTAATCACCACCAGTTCTCCCTCGGAACCTTCATTTGCTTCACTGGAGATTCCATTTGCAACATTTGTGTCTTCATTATTTCTCTAAAGAGAAATTAAATTATCTATTTATTTTCTCTTCCTGCATGATTTTAAACTGAGATGCCCATGGAATGTTACGTGCTTTCACTGCACTTTCGCTTTCGACACACAAGTTACTTCATGAAATTTAAGGCTATGAAGGCACCTTTTTAACACCTAATAACGCTTGTATAAGTAATGACCTAGATCCTGCTATAATTTGCTAACGAGGCAGCTTTCGTAAAAAGAATAGCAAGGCATCTCTCCGTCGAAACACTTCGACAAGTCGATAGCTCAACGAAAGTGAAAGTTGGCATATTTTGTAACCTTGACCGGTTTTTGAGAAACTGCTCGATTTGTGCAATTTTGATCATAAACTCTTCACTGGTTGGAAAGAGAACTTCCCTCGGAATAATATGATGCACAATAATGATTAAAACACCTACAATTGCCGAAGCATTTTGGATCTCTTCCGCATTCATTTTCGTCCTTTGTGTTCCTTCACAAACACAGAATGAGGCTGTTTCGTCATAATTTTGATCCTTCTTACGCCGTATATAGTGGGGACTTTTAATTGGCTTTTGGCTGTGGACTGCGCGAAAGACATTGGTCGAAAATCAACTGAAACAAAGGAAGGGAAAACCCCCTTTGTAAAGCGAAAGTAGATATACCACGGCCTACTGGGTGGGAGTGGGTTCAAACGAAACTTTTGAAACGTTTCCGGGTTTCGTTTCTTCTTCCCTCGAAACTCTGCTTTTTAACCACCATCAAACTCAGGGAAATGGGAATTCATCTTTTGAGGCATAACGTTTTCATCTTTCTCCTGGTAAGGTCGATGAATGTTTTGTCGTATGACTGAAAAGCGTCGGAACATGTTAGGGTGTATGTCATATGACTGGAGAGCATCGAAACATGTAAGGGAGACACATTGACTTGATCTCAACTCGAGTAGAAACGTTTCAGTCTGATTCAAATTATTCGGGAAAATATGCCATATTTCATGAATATCTCAACTCGAGGTCCCACGAAACCCAACTATCAAAGTTGTTAACGCTAATTTTGATATGATTCACTTTGGCACGAGGTATATGTTATAATCTGTTTTCAACTGTACGAAGTTTATTTGTTGCAACAAAACGAAGGAAGTGAAGCTTTAATGTACGTCTTCATTTTTAATGTACTTTTTCATTCTCATTTTCAGGTCAGGGAATTGCATTCTGTTCATGTGTGCAGACACAATCAACATGCATTAGAGACCCCAAATGGTAGCTTCGTTTGTTTGGATTGCTTAAAATGCCCCCCAGGGTTGGGTATTACGATTCCATGCGGTAACAAGATACCATACAGTGCCTCTGTTGAATGCCGGACTTGTAACCCAGGTTATTATTCTGATTCCCACTCCTCTGAGAGCTGTAAGCCCTGTGTAACTTGTGGTCCAAATGAAATCATGGTAACAGCCTGTACTGAAACCTCAGATACTCGTTGTAGATGCAAGCCTTGCCCAGAGGGGTATTACCAAAACCAAACCTTGTCCAAATGCTTTCCTTGCTCAGGATGTTGCCCAGGTGATTTGGATGTAATTGTTCCACAGTGTCTCAAGCAAGGAATGCCTCGCGCGCAAGCATGTAGGTATCGTAAGAAAAAACCTTGTTCGGCAAAGTGCTGGTACGATGAGATTACAGTTGTGAAGAATGATGGCGAACAGATCTGTTTACCCTGTCCTCTTTGTTCAGACGAATTTGGTCTTACCAAACCATGCGGAAGTGTTGTAACTGATGGCGCAATACCTAAGTGTGAACTTCCAATTGTAGGGAAAAAATTTGTGAATCAACATGGTATTTTGCAGTCTTGTACAAATTGTGCATTAGGCCAAAACACTGTTGAAAACTGCTCTACCAAATCTGATACCATATGCGGTGAGTGCAAATTAGGTTTTTATCTTAATGCCCAGTCAAATACGTGTGAAGAGTGCTTCTGGTGTTGTAGGCATAGTGATAGCAAGAGTTTTATTGACTGTATCAAAGAGGCAAGGACGTTTGCAGAGACTTTCAGTGGGCTTGGACTTCACCTTTTTTATTCACCCTTTGTTCTGAATAGACAGTCTGGTAAGTTGCACACTGAACAACATGGAGGCTCTCTGGTGGAATATGTCAAACTTGATACTTTCACAGCCACTTTAATTGGCCTAGGCTTTGCCCTGGTTTTGTTTCACATTACAAAAAGAAGGCCAATGTTGGACAGTGAGCATCAATGCCCATTTCTCAACAAACTTGAAACAAAACGTGGTTTGCCAATGGGAAAGAAGGACCTTCCTGAAAGTGCAGAAACTACTCAATCCACACCTTCAGGCAAGCTCAATAAATGATTATTTCCCCTTTGTAATGCATTGCTTTATATCTCAAGTACTTCGGCTCAACACTCGTGCCAGAAAATTGTTATTACATATATCTTATTAGACGTTTTGTTGTGTAGTATCGCTGAGTATTTTTACGAGTTGTGCCGTATTTTGACGAGCCCGAAGGGCGAGTCAAAATACGAATAACGAGTAAA